CAGTCGTGGTATTGAAGGTGGGAGAGAGCGCTGTACATTCACTCCCCCCACCTACAATCCCTGCCGGTACGAGACTCGAACCCGCAACCTTTGGGTTACGAGTCCGACTCTCTAACCATTAGGCCACGACTTCCCCCTCGAAGTGTTTGAGAGAGGCGGGGCATAGAGGACCTACAATAATGTACAGCATTTGAAAAATAATGTGTTTTTTGAACATTAAAGCATGTCAACATATTCTGTTACACCAAATACACAAGATAATGATCTTTAAAAAAGCATCATATGACCCCTTTAAAGACTAGTGTGACCACCATGCTAAATCCTACTTTATGTAATGCAGTGTTTACTGTCTAATATGCAAACTGATCTTTTTGTTTCTGTTATTCTCCACAGCCTGCATATTTCGCTACAACGCTCTCTCTTTAGTCTACCTTCTGTACCTGCTGCTATTACCGTGGTTTCAATGGCCCAACAAACACACACTACGAGGTAAGTTTCTCACACTCTAATTCCTAATTTCATAATACTCTGCCTCACCAGAAAAATTGCTTATTGCAAAACAAAACAATTGCTAAATGGACAATTGTTTGTGATATGGTCTGGGGTGTTGAATTCCCAGATGAAAATTACAGGATAGCTGACATAATTTCATCTCGAAAGTATTTGAGAAATGTTTGAGTTCATATTGAGATCTTTAACCAGATTTTGGTATCTTGGTGAATCTGAGCATAGTTTGAGACATTGTCAGGATCTCTTCTGAAACAATAGAAAACGACCCATGAGGGCCTGTTGCTCTTGAGAAACGTCTTAAGCTGGAGAATTATAGAAAGTCTCAATTTTCTCTCCAGTTTGCTTTGATCCAATCGATGTTGCTGAATTATAAATGCCCAAAGTGACCAGTTACAATTTACTACTGAGGGGAGCAGCACTGGAAAACAAAGATATAAAATGAAATAAAAATAACAACCATAATAATAATAATAAATGCATTTATATTTAATATTTTGTTAGATTTTTTTCATAAGATAAATAGGCCTATAGAAACATATTTCTTATGTGTTTAGTTTTTTAATATAAAATGTATTTATTTATTATTATTTATTTATAATTATACATGTTTATTTATTTTTATTATAGTCATATTTTCTGTGACGATACAATAAACGATATTATCGATCTAAAACTATCCCTCCCTGTCTAGTAGGGTCTGGAACTCCAGACTAGCAGTCGTTTTGCCAAACCACAGCTTGACTGACCTTTATAATAGAGGAATCCATTATAAACCATGACCCATTCATTCCTGTAGTATTAGACATCACAGGACCACAGAGATCTACAAAGCCTAAATGATGATGGAATAAACAAAAGGTTCTTTGGCTCTCAAAAGTGGTTTGCATATTTTTTTCCCATCCAAGCACCTTACTATGTAATGTGTATAGGGTTCAGGGATTGGATCCAGCTTTGTGGCTTTGGCAGGCGCATCAGTGACAGGAAGGCAGCCCATTTATCTTAGGGCTTTAGTCCAGAGCTCTCGAGCTCATAGCAGGTTATCATCATAGCCACTTCCTGTTTAAGAGGCAGGACTGCTGGGAACAATGGTGTTGGCAGTATGTTTTTGATAACTGGGCTTAACAAGGTGCTGAAAAGTGAATGATGGTTTGATGCTCTGTATAAAGAACCACTATCTGTGAGCACATCCACACTCATAACTGAAGTATGTGGCCATGAGGAGTGGCATAATAACAGTACTCCGACTAATTGTTCCTCGTCACCACTGTCATAAATACAGTTTTGCACCTCTTCTAGCACCAGGTAGTTGTGCTAGAGATGTATCCATTAATATTCCTATTCATGGTAGTTGCATGCATCTGAAAGAGTAAATATAAGTCTGTTATATTGTTATATAAGTCACCCTGCACACCAAGGTTCTTCTCCTTAACTTTCAAACTGGCCCGTGCTTATTTATGTTCAGGCTCTGTAGTCTGAAGTTTAAAGAGGTTTCTATCTACAACGCAATTTGTAGCATTGAGCATTGTTACATAGCCAATCGTGCTGGAACTGAAGTGAATGACAGCTTGATTATAAAGGGATTACCCTCCTTGCTCGCTTTCTTTATGTAATCTATTTAAAATTTAAGAAAAAAGTTTTATTTTTCATGCTGCTAAGAGGACCAGTGGGCACACATACACTACAGTTTCAGGAGAGATTTTTCACATGATGTAGGCAAATGTTTGTATTGTTTAAATGACGGATGCACATTTTCATAATTGTTTTCTCTGTTAAAGGGTTAGTTCATTCAAAAATGAAAATTAGTCCATGTTTTACTCACCCTCAAGGCATCCTAGGTGGTGTATATGACTTTCTTCTTTCAGACGAATCCAATCAGAGTTATATAAAAAAAATTGACCTTGCTCTTCCAAGCTTTATAATGGCATGGGCGGGTGTTTTTGTTCAACAGTCCAAAAGTAGTGAAATAAAGCGCATCCATCCATATTAAAATCACATCACACTGCTCCGGGGGGTAAATAAAGGCCTCCTGTAGCGAATCGATACGTTTTTGTACAAAAAAAAATCCATATTTAAAACGATAAAAAACAGTTTTGTGTAACTTCCGCTAACTGTTCACGAGAGACTGCCATTCCGGCGGATGACGTAGGCATAGTGCATGCGCATGTGAGTCTTGCGAAAACCAACATTTGTTTACGGGAGCAAAGGAAGTAAAGTTTCCTTACTTTACCAAAGGAAAACCAGTCTCCTCTTGGCTTATATCGAAAACCTCTGACATTTTTCTTTACAAATCCTCGCTTTGTGCTTCTAATTCATGACCGGCATTTTGTTTTGTTCTCTCTCTGTCGCGCTTCTGCGTTCGTCACTAATCACCAGCGCTTAAGCTACGCATACGTCCTACGTCATCCACCGGAACGGCTTCCGTCTACGACAGTTAGCAGAAGTGAGAAAAAGGTGTTTATATCATTTTAAATATGGATATTTGTCTTACAAAAACGCATCGATTCACTACAGGAGGCTTTTATTCACCCCCCGGAGCCGTGTGATGCGCGTTTTAATATGGATGGATGCGCATCCTCTAGTGGTTGAAATCACTGACAGCACGTGCTATTTGTTTAGACACGTGATACTGCACGCTGAACAGAGCGGGAAACTTCAGACGCGGATTTAAATGCAGCCGACAGAAAATCCTGCCGCGCCACAGAGCGCCATTCACATAGTTTTCCTTTAAATTACATTATATTGGTCCCGAATCGTTGTTAATGTACATAATGAATTGTGTATTGTGCATTTTCAGTGAAACGTTTGTCTTTCTGTGGCTCTAGTAAAGTCTATGCTTCATTTATAGAGCTATAATATAGGTCGCGCTTTCTCTTTCCGTTTGCTCCGTTTTTTAAACACCGAACTTCAAACTCATCTATGCCAAATTGTTCATTCTTGAAGTAAACTTGTGTCCGTTTGGTGATTAAATAAACTGTTTTAGACCGCTGCTCGAGTTGAACGCGACGCGTCCGGAGTGTGTCTGATACCGGTGAGTTCTCTTAGACTTTTGATCAGATAATCATGAAGTGTTCAAGAATAGAAGCAGTTAAAGTGTGAGAGTATACATACAATATCCATATGTATATAATTTTAATGCTATAGCCTTTGTGTATATATTTAAAGATGTGCATCTTTAAGCATGACAGTTGAAATGAAATGGTAACACTTTAAAATAAGAGTCCATTTGTAGCATTAAGATTAATGAAAGCTGTGTAAGTATTGTTCCTTGTTAGAGTGCGTTAATGTCAACATTTACTATTATTATTATTATTTTTTACTACTACTACTAGTATGGTTCAGCACTGTTTTTGTTAATAAAGCACTATTTTAGTTTTTGTTCAGTATCAATTTTAAAACTATCGGTTAATTAATCGGTATCGGCCAGTGTGGTCCAACCTAGCTATTGGTATCGGCAAAATCCACTATCGGTCGACCTCTAGTAAAAAGGACTAATTTTCATTTTTGGGTGAACTAACCCCTTAATTATCATGTTGCGCCGTGTGTCTATTTTTCTTCAATGCATCAACTTAGAATGCCTAATGTTGGTTTGATTGTGTGTGTTACATGCAAAAATAAATAATGTTTGCCTGCCTAATGTAGGAGATGCTGGTGTTGTTCAAGTCAGGTCAGGTACGGAATTAAATTAGTGCTGCTGGCAGATAACGTGTTGGATGTTCTGTTGAGTATTGCGGGTACGAGTTTAGCAAACAGGAACTGTGCAGGACTCTAGTCTGTAGGCCTTTTTCATGTTGTGAGGGCAGAATTAAAAGAAAAAACCAGAACCCACAATGCAATACTAAAAGTAAAAGCGCTCTTGCCACGGAAGTTCTGGTGTCAAAGTGACATTAAACATTGACATACAGTATACATTTATCAATTGACCAGATGCCTTTTAATATGATTTTTAAATGATTAGGCTATTTGCTCTTTTCATCCTAATGTTGCTTGAAAGGTTTGTGTGTTTGAGTGTGTGTGTGTTTGTGTAGAATACAAATGAGATTTTTGTCAGCTTCAAAATTGACAAAAAGATAACAATACAGTAACATAACTGTACTGAATAGGTCCATATGACCTGTGTGTGTGTGTGTGTATACATGTGTGTGTGTGTGTGTGTATATATATATA